CGAAACACTCCCCATGGGCAGGACCTGGGTCTGTTTTTACTAACCAGTAATTAACAAATAAATGAATAAATTGAGCAGGAGAGGTGAATTTTGAAATGCATTCTGTATTTTAGTTAAAGAGTATAGCATCTTACTTGGAATTCTGGGTTGAAAGATTATGTCCAATAACAAGTTGGTTTGTTGGCTCTATATGAGAAAAGATGACTTTTTCCCCCATTACATAGACATTTCACTATTATCTACACTAATATATCTTAAAGGATATTTCAGAGAACTCTGGCATTTGCAGCAGAACACATTAATGTCAGTATTTATTTATACTTAGTAATTCCAGAGTTCTTATAGTCTGACATGTTAGACTATTGCTAATCCTCTGGATTTACTGCTCTTCCTGGGAAAAATAGAAACACTGCTTCCCTTGAATGGTTATTAAAAATATCTTTTTTAGATTTGGGATATTTGTAAAGTTTGATTATTTTAGGCTCTGGGAGGGAAAGGTGGAGAACTGGCAGGCATCACTAGAAGCAAAGTTTTTAGTTGAAAAACAGAAAGAAACACGAATCAATAATAATCTGCCAAGTTAAAGTTGAAATATTTACTGTCATACCAAAATAAAATAAAGTCTGTCTTGTTGAAAAAAGAGAGGTCACCTTTTCTCTGCCTTAAGACAGAATGAAGAAACGTGACGCTGGGGAAGTAAGAAACAGCAGGCAGGAGGGGGACGGAGAGAAGATCAGGACCTGCTGCAGTCTCCTGGAAACGTCGTTAGCACTGCTAACCCTTGTCCTTCACGTTTTTGTAAGCTGCAGAAAGAAAGCCTTAAAAGATTTCCTAACATTGAATCTGTATGGTTCCGTTTACATAGCATTCTCAAAATGACAGCATTTTCGAGATGGAGAACGGATTAGCGGTTGCCCAGGATTAGAGGTAGGGCAGACGGTTCTATCAGTTTTTGCTCTGTGTATCTTAAAGCTCTGTGTGTGTGTAACTGTAAACATTTAGGGCATCCTCCTGATCCTTCTATCATTATGAAATGTCCTTCTTTATCCCTGGCCATATCTTTTGTCTGTTATTAACAGAGCCATTGTATCTCTTCTAATTAGTTTAGCATGATAACCACACTCATTCTTCCTTTTAATCAACATGTGTCTTTATATATAAGATGTGTTTCTTATAGGGAACATATAATTTTATCTTACTTGTTTATCTAGTCAGACAATTTCTGCCTTTTCAATGGAATGTTCACTCCATTTACCTTGAATGTGATTATCAGTGTGGTTAGATTTGAGTCTGTCATTTTGCTATTTGTTTTCATTTGTTTCTTCTGTTCTTTGTACTGCTTTAACTCCCTTTCTGCCTTCTTTTGAATTCAGTGCTTTTTATGATTCTGTTTCATCTCCATTGTTGTCTTTTTAGTGATAGCATTTTTTTGTTTTGTAATTTTTACTGGCGCTTTTGGGTTTACTAAATGATTACATCTACCTTCAAGTGATGTAGCACCACCCCACATATTGTACAAGAAACATACAGTGGTGTGTTTTCATTTCTCCCTTCCTGGTCTTTATGCTATTATTGTCATTTATTTCATTTATGCATAGATTATAAACCCTGCTGCACTAAATTGTTATTTTTGTTTAGCCAGTGATCTTTAAAGAGATTTAAATAGTAAAAAAAGTTATTTACCCCTGTAGTCATCATTACCAGTGTTCCTCATTCCTTTGTTTAGATTCATATTTTCCTGGCGTTTCCTATTCCTTCTTGCAGAACTTCCCTTAGCATTCCTTGTTGTGTGGGTCCGTTGATTATTTTTTCCAGCCTTTGTATGTCTGAAAGAATCTATTGACCACCTCCACTTTTCTAGGATATTTTCTGTGGTTTCATCTTTGTTCTCTTAGTATTTTAAAGACATTTCTCCATTATTTTCTGCCTTACATTGTTTCCAATAAGAAATTTGCTCATTTTAAACTTTGTGCTTCAGTACATAGTGTCATTGTTTTCTCTCTGCTTTTAAGATGTTTTCTTTATTACTGGTTTTGAACTGTCAATTCTGATGCTTAGTTTTATTCCTGTTTCTTGTGCTTTGGGTTTATTGAACTTCTTGAATGTTTATGTTTATAGTTTTCATCAAATTCAAAAATATTCTGCCGTACTTTCTCCAGGTTTCTTATTTCTCCCCTCTTCTCTTTCAGGAGCTCCAATCACACATATATTATTAGGGTGCTTGAACTTGTCCCACAGTTTGCTAATATTTTATTTTTAGTTCTTTTTTTTTCCTGTGTTTTCATTTTAGATAGTTTCTATTGCTGTGTCTTCAAGTTCATTAACCTTTTCTTCTGCCATTAATTGCATCTGGTATATTTTTTACCTCAACTTGGGTCTTAAAAAAAATCTTCTATGTCTCTACTTTTTTAGTACATGAGGAATACTGTTTTTAATTCTTTTATCTCTACATTCTAACATCTATATCTAACATCAGTACCCCCTCTCATTAATTGATTTCTTTATTTTTTTTTCACATTGTAGGTCATATTTTTTGCTTCTTTGAATGCCTAGTAATATTTGATTAGACACCAGACATTATGAATTTTACCTTTTTTCCAGATGAATGTATTTGTATTCCTATAAATAACCAAGAGCTTCATTCTGGGACATAGTGGAGATACTTGAAACAGTTGATTCTCTTAGGTCCTGCTTTTAGAATTCCTTCAGTGGGACTGGCAGCATTTCGTCAAGGGCTGTTGGTCCCTTACCACCGAGGCAAGACCCTTTGGAGTGCTGTACCTAGTGTCTCCTGAACTGGAAGGTTCTCTAGTCTACCTGGGAACAGGCCCACGGCAGGGCCCCGCGTGGATCTGGGGCGCTGTTCCCTCTGATCTGTCCGGCCGGTTTTTCTCCTGCCCCTGCAAGATCCGTGCGTGCCCTGAGCAGCGCTCTGTTGAATGTTCGAGCGGTGTCCCCTTTGCAGGTCTCCGGGGTTTTCTCTGCCTGTAGCTCGCTCCTCTCCTGACTTGGGAACTCTGGCCCTGGTGTCCTGAGAGCTCCCCACTCCGTCTCTTCAGCTCAGAGTCCGCCAGGCTTCGGCCGGGATCTCACACCTGCACCGTGGCCTGGAAGCTCTCTCATGGCAGTAAGCTGGGGCGACAGGGCTCCCCTCATTTGTTTCTCATCTCTCAGAGATCACTCTCCTGCATTGCCTCATCCTCAGTGTACTGAAAATAGTTGTTTTGCCTATTTTTGTCCTTTTCTTTTTTGTTTTTGATTGTTAAATTGGGTTTCTTTTATTCCACTTGATTGCAAGTGAAAGTCTCAAAATTAGGAGTTTTTTGTCGTTGTTGTTTGCATATTTAATGTCACTATTGAGAAAAATGTTGTACTTAGACCATTTATGCGTAAGCCAGTTTCTAAACATGTTTGCTGTGTTTAAGTTTATGAAGATCTGAAGTGGAATAAAGAGGGGGCTGTAGAAAGTCAACGTGATCGCGAGTCCCTCTCCTTCCCACAGCTCTCTGATTTACTCTTTGGCAGGTTATTGCTCCCTTGTTAATCAGGGTCCCTTGGTTCCTTCTAGAGAGAAATTCTTTCAGTGGATTTAAATACACCGCTGAAAATATGTGAGGATGCTATAAATAAAGTTATCATGGTTTTTATGTTTTAATCTACGTGATTTAAACTTTGACATTAAAGTATTGTAGAGAAAGCAATGAGAGGATTTAGCTCAGCAGATGTTAAAATGTCTTTTAAAGCTACAGTGAGATATTGCAATACTAATGCTAATACAGCCACAGACTCGTGGGTCAAAGTACAGTGTCCACAAACAGACGTATAAATGGCCTCAAACATCTAGCTTAGGTTACTGAGTGGCTGTGGAGGCGGGCATGGCGACCCGCTCCGGCATTCCCGCCTGGAAGAGGAGCCCGGGTGGGCTGCAGCCCACGAGGGTCCCGAAGAGTCGGGCACAGCGGAAGCGGCTGCGCGTGTACGCACTCAGCAGGCGATGTGGAAACAAGCGGACGACTCACTGCGAAATTAAAGTTGGCTATCTCCTCTTATTTTATAGGGGATGTATTCCAAATAGGTTAAATATAACTTAAAAGTATTAGAAGAAAGCAAGGGCAATTCAGCCAGTCTTGAGGGAGAGAAGGCCTTTCTGAGTGTGATACAAGAGGTATAGCCATGAAGGAGAATATCGATGAGATGGCACACAGGTTTTCTATCTCCTCAGCGGCAAAACCATCGTTAGAAACAGGGAGCTCCCTGGTGGCCTGCAGCTTAGCATTGGAGGCTTTTGCTGCTCTGGTCCGGGTCAAATCCCTGCTCAGGAGCAGATCCTGCAAGCCGCACCACGCAGCCCCCCTGCCCCCCCAAAAAGTCACTAACAACTGAGTTTATATCCTTACTGCATAAAGACTCCTAATGAGATAGTAAAAGAAACACAAATGTCCTACTCAAAAGATGGGCAGAGAACGTGAGCTAGGTAATCGTAATTAGGGGCAAAAAACATAAATGTCTAGGAAATATGTATCTCTTAAATGTTCTATTTCATAATAATAGTAACAATAAAGTAATAAAAGCTGTCATTTATTATGGGTTTCTGTTAGTCTGAATATGTTAAGAAATTTCAACAGATAAGCTCATTTAATGCCTTGAAAGGCAGGTATGCGTCCATCATCATCCTTTTATAAATGTGGCTCCTGAGACAGGACCTGAGGAGCCGTGCCTGAGGTCAGGTCTGACAGAGCTGTCAGATGGTTGAGCCGAGGTTTCCGCCGGCCATCTGAGTCCTGCTCCTCATCACTTCTCCAAGAAGTAAATTAAAACTACCTTAGATTCCACTGCACTTCACAGAGAAACTGGTAATTTGCACAAGATCACACAGTTTATAAGCAATAGAACAGAGCTGAGATTTTTAGAAGGAAAAATCATATAAAGAGAAGAAGGGGAAAGAGCAAAGTGAGCAACAAAGCAGCTGTCTTCTAATCTTACAACGTGTTTCTTTCCAGAATATTTAAAGGATGCTTCAAAGAAGACGAAAAGCGGGCTTGTGTTTGTAAAACTGGCTAACCCATGTTCAGGCAAGTGCCCCTCTCCTCCCTTCTCCTCTGATAACTTGAACATTTTTAAAACATTGTGGCTGAAAAGTGTGTACATTTATTTGTCTTCTCATGTTTTTTCTTCCTGTCTAGCCATTAAAGGTAAAACAATATTATATGATGACAAAAGCAAGCTAATGACATAACCAATCTTCTAAGATAATTCACTTGACCTAAACACTTTTTAAAACTTCTTCATAAGTTTAATCCATAGAACTGTTTATTCATCAGAAGTGCTGGCAAAACAAAAAAGCATAGAATGTTTGATTTCTCTGTGAAAACAGATGAGTTTTCCTTGGCATTTTAAAGCCAGCTTTTCTTTAAGTAGTTATCCAATATAAGATTCCATTTATACTCATGTTATAAAGTAAAATAAATAACCCGAGTTTAAAAAAGAGGTGGGGGGAGGCTTTTACTGGACATGCCAAGGTTTTGAATACTTTCATTTTTAGCTGTACTTCCCTTATTTTGTTCAGACCAAAAAGTAGTATATATATATATTTTCCTGTCACGGGGTGATTTTTTTGGCATTAAAAAGCATTGTATTTTGAGGAAATACACATTTTATCAGGAATAATTTTAACTCTATACTCGGTGTATTTTCCTTTGTCTTATCATTTTTAGGCAAAAGTATTAAAATACACTTAATTATATAGTGATATTGATGACATGATTTATCTTTGTGAAATTGTTTTTCCATCAGTTTATTTTACAAGATTTATAAGGTTAGTCTTAATTTTACAAGGTTTTAAATAGCTATCTGATATTTAGCAGATGAGATCGTCCTCTTGGGGACTGTCATACTGAATAGTGAAAGCAAGAGGCCTCAGCGGGTGGTGCGGATGTAATCGGTCAGCTATATTATCTGGAATTCCTTAGTATGCATAAATGTAAGATGAGGTGTGAAGTGTTTTTGCAAGAGAAGTCTTAGATAGCCAGTAAAGCATTTAACAAAGGCAAAATACAAATAAAAGCCAGGCTTCCTGAAAAATTCTGAATGTCCATGGACAACACTTTACTGACTATGGAAAGATAAAGGCTAACCTTTGCTGAGCACTGACTAATGTGCTGTGCTAGGAGCTTTACGTGTCCATATTCTCTTTTTAATCCTTAAAAAAGCCCTGGGGAGGCCGTTCAGTATTGCTCCCACGTTACAGTTGTGGAAGCAGGTACAGAAGGGTGGGATCACTTCCCCGAGGGCACACACCCAGATGTAGTTGAGATAGTTTCGAATGCAGGGCCCTGACTGTGCTGTGTTTGGAAGGAAATTCCTGCATTGAAGGGATTCATTCGGATGCATGCAAATGTGTGCAGTCTTCACCCCTTCTAAATGGTCCTTTTCTTGGGGAATCTGAGGAAAGGGAGATCTACATCTAGTCGGGCGTGGCCCTCCTCACTCCTCACGGCTGAAAGTGTGTGGCTCTCACGGGCCCTGGCCTTCCTCCGGGGGGGCCTCCCCTCTAGGGTGTATGGACCCCGTCTCGTCCCTCGGTGTGGGAGGCTGCAACCCCCCCACAGGCCAACTCAGTTCATCTGGCTGAGCCTTTTGGGTTTGGGTGGCTTAGGAGTGATGGAGGACTCAATGACAGGCTTTGGAACAGTTAAGATAAATGATTTGCCCTTTTGTATTTATTGGTCTAAGTTCAGTGAGGATTACAGAGTTGGGAAGCAAGCATTTGTGTATAATAGCTACAAGCTTTCCTTGGAGTAACTTTGTATAGACTGTATATGTATGTTTATGTTCATATTAGGAACAGTCCTCAGAACTATTAGTCTTCTGGGGGGGTGTGTGTGTGTGTGTATGAAAACTTACAAATAAAAAGCAGATTTGTCTTAACAGGGGAAGGAGCCATTTACTTGTTCAACATGTGTCTACCACAGCTGTTTGAAATAAAAGTTTTCAAGGAAAAAAACCGTTCTTGGTTTATAAATGAATCAGTTCAATCAGGTAAGTGACTAGTGTATGTATTTCTATTAACTAAACACGTACACTGACTTTGCCGTCCTTCACGCATGGAAGTCTGAGTCAGTCTGCCTGGTTTGGAGTCTAGTCCATAGTTGTTTTTTTGTTGCTGGCATCAGAGCAGGGTTTAATCAAGGAGAAAGGAAAGATGGTTGGAACAAGTCTAGATCAACAACTTTGTGTCTTAGGTGGCAGGAAATTTTTAGCTATTAATAACAACTCTGATTTTTTTCTCCTAAAACACTGTCACACTCTGAGTCAGAAGTAAGATGAATTTTGTACTATGGAGTACACACTGTGTTGACTGAAACTCTTTGCTCTTCTTTTAGCCACTTTTGAGATTCTTCAAGTTTTTTAACATCTTGTTTCCATCGCAAATGGATACTGGTAGAATAGAATAGAACAAAGATATTTTTGAATGCTTTGTCATATAAATTACCATTGCAACCCGCCCACCCTCCCTATCCCCTGAGCTTCCCTTGTGGCTCAGCTGGTAAGGAATCCGCCTGCAGTGAAGGAGACCTGGGTTCGATCCCTGGTTTGGGAAGATCCCTGGAGAAAGGAAAGGCTACCCACTTCAGTATTCTGGCCTGGAGAATTGCATGGACTGTATAGTCCATGGGGTCACAAAGAGTTGGACAAGACTGAGTGACTCTCACTTTCACCCTACCGCCCAACACACACATTCAACTCCCAGTTTCTCTCAGTTTTCCTTTGTTTTGGGTCATTGTGGACTCTGAAGGAGACAGGATACCAAATGTAGCCCCGGCAGTTGTGGGGTGCCGGGGTGGGGGGTCCTGGGGTGGTTGAGGCCATCTCAGTTCCTGCTATCTCATTTTTTTCTGTTGCTTGGGCTGGGGGCAGGCAGTGCATCCCAGGGTGGCTGAGGCTATCTCAGTTCCCACTATCTCATTTTTTCTGTTGCTTGGGCTGGGGGCGGGCGGTGCATCCCGGGGTGGTTGAGGCCATCTCAGTTCCCACTATCTCATTTTTTCTGTTGCTTGGGCTGGGGGCGGGCGGTGCATCCCGGGGTGGTTGAGGCCATCTCAGTTTCCTGTGTTCCTCTGTCTTGTGTCTGCTGCTTCCTAAGCCTCTGCTTTCTGTCGAGTGTCTAAGCCGCCACCTAGAGCTAAGGTTGAAAGGCCTCTTGACCTTTCTTGTAAGGTATCCAGAAGAAGGGTTTATTGCTGGCAGTGAATTTTATATACCTGTGTGCATGAGAACATCTGAAGTGGTTTTCAGTTGCCAAAAGGCAATGGTAGACTGTGGTAGGTGCCAAGTATACATTCCTTTTTATTGTTCCCTTTTATTATTTTTCATTTGATAATATATGAGAGTTCCAACTTCTAGTGTAATATAGTTGCCTTTGGGTTTTGCTGCATAGACACAGTAATATCCAGATGAAACTGAAAAATATTCAGAGGCAATAACTGATCAGCTCTTCTGAACTGGCTGAGTTGGTGCCTGCTTTTTTTTTTTTTTAATAGACTTTTTTTTTTTTAGTTTTTGGTTCTCAGTAAAGGTACCTGTTTTTTTCATAGTCTTCTTTTTAAATGTAACCTTGAAAAAGGAGCTCTTTTTAAGAATGGCCACTAGGATATTGTTTTCAGATTGAGAAACTTGTTTCTAATTTCTGAATATAATAGATGTCTCATATAAACTGGGCTTAGAGCTTCTGATAGATTGTTTTCATAAACTTCCTTCTACTTTAAAAAAAAATCATTAACTAAGGTCATCATATAAAATTATGTCCTTAATTTTTTTTTTAAAACATACTATGAAATGTATTCATGTATATAACTTAGGGTTAGAATTTCTTGGCTGTATAGTTGGGTTGCAGTGTTAGAGAATAAAAATCAGTAGATGTTTCCTGAAACCAAATTGGTAAATATGGAGATAAATGAACTGTTTATTGCTGTTCTCTGTCACTTCCATGGAAGGGTTCTGGGATGTTTGGAGGTGGTGTGACGGACTAAAGAAAAGTAAGGTCCAGGAGGCCTAGTTGGTTTGATTTGTCTTTTTTCCTTTCAGCCTGGTGAGCATCACTCATCTAACTGCAGAGATCCCAGTTTCCTATGCTCAATCTTGTTAAGATACCTACCCGCCTGCATTTTTTTCTTTGGGGGATGGTCAGGATCTCGGGTGGGTAACAACCTCTGAGCTTTGAGTCATTGACCGTGAGCCCAGAGCACATAGAAGGAGCCATGTACAGAGGGAATAATATCGCTTTCCCATGGCTTCGTCCTCAAAAGCACTAGGAAATTACGTCTTACTGCAGCTCTGTAGATGGACTTACACTGGTTTCCTAATACTTGCCTGGTTCACATTCTGTCTCTCTACCCCCAACCCTGCTATTTGGCGGGGGGGGGCATGGCGGTGTAGGAATGGGAGGTGGGGAGAGGAGGGGCTCTGTTAAACATGATTCCGAAGGTCCAGTTCAGTGTCTTGGCTCCCCTCTCTACACCAGGGTTTGAAGCTCTTTGGAGTAGAACCTCAAGGACCACATTCTGCCTTTGAGAGATTCTTGGGCCAAAATAGGGGGAGCTTCTGAATTTGGAATTTCACATCTGTTTTTCAGTGGATGGTTTCCACATTAGGATTAAGATGAAATGACTCAGTTGTCTTTCCAGAGCATTGAATTCTCTTTTTAATCTATAGGAGGTCTTCTTCACTTTGCCACACCTGTGGACCCTCTGTTCCTGCTTCTCCACTACCTTATAAAGGCCGATAAAGAGGTGAGTTTCCCAGGTTGAGATATTGACAGTAGGGAAATAGAACAGATTGGGTTTTTTTGTTTAACTTCCTCTCTCTCCTTACAATGGTCCACATGTAGATTCCCCACAGTTGAGATGTAGCTTGGTTGGCGTGGGACACCTGCATCTTGTGTGCCAGCACAGATTGGAGCACTGGTCGGCAGACCTGAGACCCTGCACCTTGACCTTGGACTGGTTCACCGGAGACTTCTGAGAATCACCTAACCCTCTGTGTTACCTCCCTTCCTTGTTTGACAAAGCCTAACAATGAAAAGCTCATTCGTTTTGAAATACAGTACAGATGTTAAGACCTCAATCTTTAAGAGCAGAAAGTAGATTTATTGTCTTTCATTTTCTTCTTTGTGAGAGACTGAAATAGGTACACTGGAGTGTGTGTCCAGCGAAAAGCTCATTAACTGGGAAGCTGTAGCTGAGACTTAAGGAATCCCAGACAGTAAAATTTACCTTTGTAATATAAAGACAGAGTTTATTAATAGTAATAGTTCCAAACAGAGGTTCTGAAATACTTTGGTCCCAGGATAGCTTTACACTTGACAATTATTAAGGGTCCCAAAGAGCTTTTTGTTCCTGTGTGTTTTACCTATGAATATTGACTACATTGGACTTCCCAGGGGGCTCAGATGGTAAAGAATCCGCCTGCAGTGCCGGAGACCCAGGTTCGATCCCTGGGTCAGGAAGACCCCCTGGAGAAGGATTAGCAACCCACTCCAGTATTCTTGCCTGGAGAATTCCATGGACAGAGGAGACTGGTGGGCTATAGTTCATGGGGTCGCAAAGAGTCAGACACAACTGAGTGACTAACAGTACAGTTTCATTGACTATATCAGAAATTAAAACTGAGAAATTTAAAAATTTCTTATTTATTTATTTTGAAAATAAAAATCATAAGCCCATTTGGAAAACATGTCTCACTGAATTTTCCAGGTCTTCCAGATGTCAGCAGAATACATGCATGCATGCACACGCACACACCTTTGTTAATTTAATATTACTGGAGGAACTGAAGAGCCTCTTGATGAAAGTGAAAAAGGAGAGTGAAAAAACTGGCTTAAAACTCAACATTCAGAAAACTAAGATCATGGCAACTGTTCCCATTGCTTCATGGCAAATAAATGGGGAAATAATGGAAACAGTGACAGACTTTATTTTCTTGGGATCCAAAATCACTGCAGATGGTGACTGCAGCCATGAAGTTAAAAGACATTTGCTCCTTGGAAGAAAAGCTATGACTAACCTAGACAGCATATTAAAAAGCAGAGACATTACTTTGCCGACAAAGGTCCGTCTAGTCAAAGCTATGGTTTTTCCAGTAGTCATGTATGGATGTGAGAGTTGGACTATAAAGAAAGCAGAGCACCGAAGAATTGATGCTTTTGAACCGTGGTGTTGGAGAAGACTCTTGAGAGTCCCTTGGATAGCAAGGAGATCCAACCAGTCAATCCTAAATTAAATCAATCCTGAATATTCATTGGAAGGACTGATGTTGAAGCTGAAGCTCCAAATCCTTTGGTCACCTGATGTGAAGAACTGACTCATTGGAAAAGACCCTGATGCTGGAAAGATTGAAGGCAGGAGGAGAAGGGATGAGATGGTTGGATGGCATCACTGACTTGATGGACATGAGTTTGAGTAAACTCCGGGAGTTGGTGATGGACAGGGAAGCCTGGCGTCCTCCAGTCCAGGGGGCCACAAAGAGTTGGGCATGACTGAGGGACTGAACTGAACTGAACTGAGTGATCTCTTTAGAAAACTCTTTGAATGCTGGGAAGCATGTCATAGTGACAGATACAAATTTTCTGCAATTCTAATTTTTGTTTTAAAGTTCAAATTTTTTCATTTGCTACAATACTGTCAGTCTTTCTCTTTAAGTGACAGATTCACTGCATTTATGTTCTGCCAAATATTCAAGTCTGAATAACCATAGTCCATGGTGATGTTTTCAGGTGAAAATCTTGAGTAAAGGCCAGCTAGCTTTGCTGACAACTCAGACAGTTACACAGTGCGTTTCCTTGAGCCTCAGCAACAGCAGAAGTGCTTTAGCCACACTTCACTTTCATCACACAGAACATTGAACCGACTTACACTCAGGGTCAAGATTTAAATAAAAGTAATTGTTTTGCTCCGTGGTCCAGGAAATCCTTAAGTAAACTGACATTTTTATAACGCTTGTCCATGGCAGTGGAGAACCCAGTGACTGCTGGACAGTTCGCCGGCACCACCTTGACTGGTGTTGAAAAGCCAGCAGTTGTACCCACCTTTGCACTGGAGTCATCAGTGCAAATGTCAACACAGTGAAAATGCAGACAGCATCATAGCATTGTTATGAAAGTAGTTTGAAGTTTGTGGACCCCCTGCAAGGGTACAGGGGACTCCCAGGGGCCACCAACCACAGCTGGAAAACCTTCGAAATAACATCATCAAGGAATAGTATTATTTCAACACTTAGCCACACCCTATTTTTGCACTCAACATGTTTGCCAATAGTTTAAGAGCTGATGGGTTCTCACTGAGTACTTAGACCCATTTTCCAAAACTCCTGTTTTGGATTTATATCAATTTAATTTGCGATAAATACTGAGTAATAAAACTGACTTAAAATGTGAACTTGTGCTTTCTCCTGATGTACTTTGCTTTCTCTTACTCTCCTCTCCTGAATCTTTACTCTGTTCTTTAGTGTGGTTTAGTGAAGTTTTGTTCCTTAGTTTAATCATGTTTCCCCTTATCTGGAAGCTGCTGTGATAACCAGTATATGAGGGCATGAGAGCAGTGAGGCTTGTAAGCCATGTATATCTGAGGAGCAGAAATGGTTCTAGTCACCACCAGGAAGGCCCTGGAAGTGCTGCGGGAAGAAGATGGCAACTCCCATGGCGTCCACTCCTGGTGTGTCCTAGGGCATACTAGCAGGGAGGAGGCACCAACCAGCCTTGTGCCTGTGCTGATGCACCTTTAAAAGGCCTTCCCTCCATCTAGGGGGACTGTTCCCCTGTTTCCCATTAAGAACCTGGCTTGGCTCTGGTGAATTAATCCTCACCCTGGCCCTCTGGGAGGCTCTGGGGGTGCTGTGACTGGCTCAGGTTGGCAGATGCAGAATGAAGCTCATGGTGGTGGTTGGCTTTCATTCATTGTAAACTATTTTGCTGTCTCTCTCAAATACTTTAAAAGCCCCTTAAAATAGACTATGAGGCACTCAGATATTCCTCCCCTACATTTTAGATGTGATCTTTCTCTATTTAATTAAGAAAAATACTACTGAGCAACCAACACTTTCACTTGGGACTTCCCTTGTGGGTCAGACAGTAAAGAAACTGCCTGCAGTGCAACAGATCCAGGTTCGATCCCTGGGGCAGGAAGATCCACTGGAGAAGGAAATGGCAAGCCACTCCAGTATTCTTGCCTGGAGAATTCCGTGGACAGAGGAGCCTGGTGGGTGGCAGTCATGTGGTCACAATGAGTCAGACACAACTGAGTGACCAGCACTTTCACTTTCATTCACTTTTGAAATGGTTACCTATTTTTTTTTAATATACAGTTTATTTTAAGATCAGTAAAAAATAATTCTCCTGTCTAGCTCTCCCAGCTGTTACTGACTTTATGTTCAAACAAACTTCTTATTTCAGAACCTTTTTGTGTATACATGGTAAAGAAAAGGAGAACGAAACATTAGTTTATTATGAAATGATTATTTCATGACTACATAGTTCATTATGTATAAGTAAATCATTGTTTTAAAGTAGTTAAATATTTAACACATCTGTGATCACAGAAAAAAATAGACCAAGCTAGGAATCTAAAGACAGACTTGGAAAGCCTGTGGATTATTCTTACTATCTAGGAAAAAGAGAATATTTAAATTGAACCCTTTCTTGCCACTTGTCAATAGATCCCCAGTGCTTTCAAGAGCTTTCTAAAGGGAACTGAGAGTCAGTTTTGGAGCTTGTCCACATAGAGAGAGTTCTTAGATGGAACAAATGGCTTGGAATTTAGTTTAAAGTTTCAGCTATGAAATTATGTATCTTTTTCTCTTTTATTTATTTATTTTTAATGTATGAGTCTGTTGACTGGAGTGCTTGCCTCCTGACTGACTTACAGTCTTTTCAGGGGAAGTTTCAACCTCTGGATCAAGTTGTGATGGATGACATGTTCCCAGATTGCATCTTGTTGCTGAAACTTCCTGAACTTGAGAAGTTACTTCGACACGTGACAGAGGAGAAAGGTATAGCATGTGGCCTTTGAAGTCAGGCTTATGGCAGCTGGGAAAGCTGGCCGGTTGGTCTGAGAAGACAGTAGCTGGAAGTCCTGCGGAATGTGATGCTTATTCGTGTGGGTTATAGGAAAAGTTCAGGTTCAGATTCCCTTTCATTTGTCAGTATTCTTCCTCTAACTGCACTGCTTGTTCAGTCTGCAAAATTTGGACCAGTGAAGTATGATGGCCTGTCTCCTGCAGGACCAGGGTTCATGAGGCTTGGGCTTTAGTTCAGTTCTTTGAATGAGGCTGTGACTTTGGCTAAGTCCCTCAGCTGCTTTTTGCCTTGGGTTTCCATTTGTAAAACTTGCATAAAATCTATGCCTTTATTGATTCAGAAAACATTTATTGAGTATCCACTAAGAAGCATGTATTAAGCACTAGATCCAGGCTCTAGGGATAGTCATAAGTAAAATACTGGCCTTTATCTCATTTTGCTTTGACTCTGATGGAGACAAATGACAAGTTAGGGCAACAGCAGTAGAGAGTAAGGGAAGTGAAAACTGGGTTTTGTGGGGATGCACAGTATAAAGGTTGTTGATATATCTGCTTTGAAAATGAAAATACATGGTCAGGTGAAGCAGTTTTTTTAATCGAAAAATTTAAAATACTGGAAAACTCAGGAAAAAACTACAAATATTGTTTGTCCCCAACCCCAATAATCAACCACTCTTAATATTTTGATATATTTGCTTTAAATCTCAGGGAAAGAATTTCTTTAGGAACAACTTGGTAATCTGTAGGATCTGATGTCCTACAAGAAAAATTAAAAATGTATTTGCTACATAGTTTTGAGCAAATCATTCAAACTTTTCAGCATCTGTGATGTGCCAGATGAAGGGTTTGAAGGGTTAAGAGTACTTCTCATATTCTGCTATACATTATAATTAGTACCCTGAAAAGTTCTAAGTCACAAAATAAAGCTTTCCTTCTTTTAGCTTTAGAGGGTTGAGATCTCTAAATGACCAGCATATGAACATTATTTAAGTATTGCAATTAATAGTGTCTACCACAAAGAGATGCTTCAGGAATTAAATGAAATAATACAAGTAAATCGGTGCCCAGAGAGTGCTGGGTGCATGGTAAATGTTAGTATCTTAAGGCTTTTAACTAGAGATTTTTAATTCTCTCCTAATGTTTAAGTACTAGATATACAGTAAGTGGGGCTTCCCAGGTGGTTCAGATGGTAAAGAATCTGTCTGCAATGCAGGAGACCTGCGTTCAATCCTTGGGTTGGGCAAATCTGTTAGAGAAGGACATGGCAACCCATTCCAGTATTCTTGCCTGGAGAATTCTGTGTACAGAGGAGCTTGGCAGGCTACTGTCCATGGGATGACAAAGAGTCTGACACAACTGAGCAACTGAGCATGCATGCACACATATAGTAAGTGACCAGTACACACTTGTTTGATGGTCCATTGATTAATATATAGTTAAGTGGTTTAAGTAGGAGAGTGGGGATAATCAAACAATAATAAAAACATCTGAAAATGAAGGTGTTAGTGTCTCAGTTGTGTCTGACTTGCCTGGTAGCTCAAACATTTAAAAAATCTGCCTGCAATGCAGGAAGCCTGGGTTCAGTCCCTGAGTTGGGAAGATCCCCTGGAAGAGAGAATGGCAATCCACTCCAGCATTCTTGTCTGGAGAATTCTGCGGACAGAGGAGCCTGGTGAGCAGCAGTCACGAGTTGCAAAAAGTCAGACATGAACTGAGCAGCTAACAGTTAAGCCTGCTAGGTTTACGAGAACCTTCACCCCTTGTCTTTTCCCCACTGGATAAACCCAGCCACAGTTGCTTGTATCCTGAATGGTGATGGTGGTGGCTTTACTGTTCGCTTTATTAGTGAAGGAAACGATGTGTCTCTGCTAGCTTTGGGGCTCAACATGTTTCTTGCCAAAACTCCCATTCAGTGGAGAGTTGACAGGGGAAAGGACTAATAAAGGGTTATGAACTTCGTCTTGAGTGTAATGCTCTGTTTCATATTGCAAGCAAAAGCTGCTCTGCATTGTCAGATATGATTAACAGGAAGAGTCAGGAAAACTTACCTGATTAAAATACCCCAAGCATTGTTGCCAAGTTTCTATCCCCAGGAGGCAAGAGAAAAAAAAGAGACCATATGAGTTTCTCAGTTGTGGAAAACATTCAGAAAGTAGATGTGAAAATGTGCTCCAGGCAGTTTGTTCAACAATACATCAGGGAAATTCAAGTTTGCGAACCGATTACCCAATTGCTGAACATGTTATTTGACTGTGGACTCCTTTTTATTCCATCTTTATTTTGTAAACCCAGTCTTTCCAGATGTTCAAGACCAGTTTTACAGGCACCAGACACATTAGGGAAAGAAACCTTTCCAGCATAGTACATGTTATCTAACTCACAAACTCTTGCAAGTATTAAGTTTAGGACACAATAGAAAAGAAGCAAAGATAATAAGAAGAGGTGACAAGAATACACAGAAGAACTATACAAAAAACATCATGACCCAGATAACCACGATGGTGTGATCACTCACCTAGAGCCAGACATCCTGGAATGCGAAGTCAAGTGGGCCTTAGGAAGCATCACTGTGAATAAAGCTAGTGGAGGTGATAGAATTCCAGTTGAGCTATTTCAAATCCTAAAAGATGTTGCTGTGAAAGTGCTGCACTCAATATGTCAGCAAATTTGGAAAACTCAGCAGTGGCCACAGGACTGGAAAAGGTCAGTTTTCATTCCAATCCCAAAGAAAGGCAATGCCAAGAATGTTCAAACTACCACACAATTGCACTCATCTCACATGCTAGCAAAGTAATGCTCAAAATTCTCCAAGCTAGGCTTGAACAGTACATGAATTGTGAACTTCCAGATGTTCAAGCTTGCTTTAGAAAAGGCAGAGGCACCAGAGATCAAATTGCCAACATCCGTTGGATCATCAAAAAAGCAAGGGAATTCAAGAAAAACATCTACTTCTGCTATATTGACTACACCAAAGCCTTTGACTCTGTGGATCACAGTAAACTGGAAATTTCTGAAAGAGATGGGAATACCAGACCACTTGACCTGCCTCCTGAGAAATCTGTATGCAGGTCAGGAAGCAACAGTTAGAACTGGACATGGAACAACAAACTGGTTCTATATTGGGAAAGGAGTACCTCAAGGCTGCATATTGTCACCCTGCTTATTTAACTTATATGCAGAGTAGATCATGCGAAATGCCGGGCTGGATGAAGTACAAGCTGGAATCAAGATTGCCAGGAGAAATATCCATAATCTCAGATAGGCAGAAGACACCACCCTTATGGCAGAAAGGAAAGTGAAGAGCCTCTTGATGAAGGTGTAAGAAGAGAGTGAAAAAGTTGGCTTAAAACTCAACATTCTGGCATCCGGTCCCATCACTTCATGGTAAATAGATGAGTAAACAATGGAAACAGTGGCAGACTTTATTTTTTTGGTCTCCAAAATCACTGCAGATGTTGACTGAAGCCATGAAATTAAAAGACCCTTGCTCCTTGGAAGGCAAGCTATGATCAACCTAGAGAGCATATTAAAAAGCAGAGATATTACTTTGCCAACAAATGTCCATCTAGTCAAAGCTATGGTTTTTCCAGTAGTTATGTATGGATGAGGGAGTTGGACTATAAAGAAATCTGGGCACCGAAGAATTGATGCTTTTGAACTGTGGTGTTGGAGAAGACTCTTGAGAGTCCCTTGGACTGCAAGGATATCCAACCAGTCTATCTTGAAGAGAATCAGTCCTGAATATTTATTGGGAGCACTGGTGCTGAAGCTGAAGCTCCAATACTTTGGTCACCTGATGGGAAGAACTGACTCACTAGAAAAGATGCTGATGTTGGGAAGGATTAAAGGCAGGAGGAGAAGGGGATGACAGAGGATGAGTTGGTTGGATGGCATCACTGACTTGATGGACATGAGTTTGAGTAAGCTGCAGGTGTTGGTGATGGACAGGGAGGCCTGGTGTGCTGCAGTCCATAGGGTCCCAAAGAGTCGGACATGACTGAATGACTGAACTGAACTGATAGAACATGTTGTGGTATTTTTCATAATCATGGGTTATCTGTGGCCTTCATGAATATTTTAAGCCACTTTGCTTATCAAAATAGGTAAATTTTAAAATTAAGTGGTAGTTTATGCACTTGGTCCTTGTATAGCATTTTGGGATATTCAAGTTGGATATTTTTTGTGATCATCTTGTCCAGGGAATGTTTAATTCAAAATCAGTTTGCAGTTTAAAAACTACTTAGGAAAAAAACTGTAGGCCCAGCAGGCTTCATTAGTTGAATTCTACGATACTTGAAGGAAAAAATAATACTCAAAGAAATAATGATACTTAGATTATTTTAGAAATTAAATAAGAAAGACATATTTCCCAACTAATTTTATGAAACCAGAGTAGCAAAAAGAAAACTGTAATTTAATATTCTTTATGATCATAGACTGAAAAATACTTTAAAAATATAGCAAATTAACTATGTAAAAAGGACAGTATGTTATAACCAAGTGAATTTATCATAGGAATGGAGTTGGTTGAATGTTAGAAAATCAATCAGTATGATTCACTGTATTTATGCATAACAAAAGAAAAACTGTATGATCATCTCAATAGATGTAGAAAAACCCTTGACAAAATTCAGTCATTATATAAATTCTCAGCATATTAGAGATAGAAGGGAACCTCCTCATGCTTTTAAAGGACATCCATGACAAACCTAAGCTAATATCATACTTCACTGTGAAGAACTGAATGCACTTTTTCTCTAAGATTGGTACAAGATAAGGATGTTGATCTTCTCCACGTCTACTCACCAGTGTAGTATATATCCTAGCAGTTTTGATAAGATAAGAACAAAATTAAAGGTATACAGCTTAGAAAGTAAATAGTGAATTGTCTTTTTACATCAACAATATGGTCACATATATAAAAAGCTCAAAAGAATTTACCAAAAAAAAAAAAAAATCACTAGAACTAATAAACAAGTTCTCAGGATATAGGGTCAATATACAAAAATCAATTGTTTCTGTATATTAGCAGTGAACAATTGAACAGTGGAATAAAAACATGTGATTTGTAATATTAAAAAATCATGAGGTTGTAGTGACAGAGGTAGTGTAATATATGCAAGACCAGTACCCTGAACATTGTAAAACATTTCAGAGAGAAATTAAAGAATTAAATAAATAGATATACCATGTTCATGAGTTGGAAGACTCAATATTGTTAACATGTCCATCTCCTCCAAAGTCATCTATAGATTTAATGCAATGCTTCTCAGGCTTTTTTTTTTTTTAATCAATAAGCTGATTCTAGAATTTATAAAACTATGCAGAGAATCTGTAGTAGTCAAAACAATTTTGATAAAGAAGAACAGATTGGAAAGCTTATACAACCTGATTTCAAGACTTAATGTAAAACTACAACAGACGAGAAAGTATGGCATTGGTACAAAGATAAAGAGATAGTTAAATGGAACCAAATAGAATCGAAGTGGACCAATATTTATGTAGCCAATTGTTTTTTCAGTGGTGTCAAGACAATTCAATGGGAGAAAGAATTATCTTTTCAGCATATGACCTGGAAAAATTGGATATCCATGTGAAAAACAACATTGACTGTTACTCAGAATTATACAGAAAAATTAACTTGAAATGGATTAATAACTTAAATTTAAAAAATGAAAACTACTGAATTTCTAGGAAAAGCCATAGAAGAAAACCTTTGTGACCTTGAGGATAGGCAGAGATTTCATAGAACACAAAAGCCACTAACCATTAAAAAAATTATAGATTACACTTTATTAAAATTAATATCTTCTGTTTTCTGAAGAAAAAAAGACAAACCACAGTTGAAATAAAATATTTATATGACATATATCTGAGTGTGTGTGTGTGTGTGTGTGTGTATCCCAAATGTATAAAGAACTCTTAGCACACTAATTAAATGATATCCAGCTTCCCACATGGTGCTAGTGGTAAAGAACCTGCCTGCCAACACAGGAGATGTAAGAGTCAGGGGTTCGATCCCTGGGTTGGGAAGATCCCCTGGGGGAGGGCATGGCATCCCACTCCAGTATTCTTGCCTGGAAAATCCCATGGATGGAAGAGCCTAGTGGGCTACAGTCCGTAGGGTCACAGTGAACACCAAATCTGTGACTTTGAAGCCAGGTTGAGAAGGAATCCAGTGTTCCTATTTACCAGCTCAGTGGCTTTGGACAATTTATTTTAACTTCACTCAAACCTAGTTTTTCAAGATGGAGACGAATAGTTTTCACCTGAGATTCGTTCTGAGCATTCAGAGAGAAAACATGTATGAAGAACTTAGCCCAGGCCTGAATATACGCTAGATGTGATGTTATTGTCATTAATGAGTTATTTCATTTTTTCGTAAATACTGTGAAGTACTTGCTATGTGCCAGACGTTGTGTGACAGGTGACTTCCCAAGGTGACATCCCGCGCTGGGGGTGCAGGAGCCCCAGCAGTGCAGCTCCGAGCCTGGTCTCTTCTCCTGAACCAGCATTTCCAGAGGGACGGGGCCTGCAAGGGGCTCAGACAGTGAGCAAGAGGAAGGAAAGCTGTGGCAGGTTGTAGAACATCCTTTTACGAAATTTGGAGGCAACGGCAAGAGACAAGGGAGCGGCAGAGTCAAGGTGGGATTCTTGGATGGGAGCCTCTAGGGAGACTGTCTCCGGCAACGGTCGGAAGGTCTGAGGCTCGGTCAGCAGCACGCGTGTTCAGAGTGGTGGCCGTGTGCTCTTAGAAGCAGCCCTCCTTTTGTACAAAGAAATACTGCATCAGCTCCAGGGAGGCTGAGTCTAGTCTTACCTGCCTTGGTTCCCCAGCAGGCCGTTTGCAGCCCCTCCTTTTCATTATTCCAGTGACACGTCCTGAGGACATGGGTGCAGAGGGCCAGCCCCGATCTGTCCGCCTCCTAGTTAGTGCCCGCAGTGTTGACGACCGCAGGCTGAGATGGGGAGGACACAGCGGGAGCTGGCTCCGGCCAGCCCCTCCTGTGCAGGCCGTCTTACTGAAACTCAAGCAGTTTAACCGTCTGCAGAAAACCACCCCTGAGTAAGCAGTTTCCGTTACCCACCATGATTACGGAGGAAGGAGAAAGTGTCATTACAGAGGAAAGAAAAAGGCGAGTTTGCATCTGGCCTTAGGAGTCCCAGGAGGGAGGGAAGAGCTGCCCCTGCTGATCGCACAGAAAGCAAGAAACCCCGTGAATGAGGTGTTACCGAGGAAATAACGGCCTAATGTCATATACCATATATATACTGAATGTGACATTAAGCCGTTAGATTACATAAAGCTAGCTGGATTGTGAGAAGAGGAAGTATAATTTATAGGAGATGAAACTTTTATCCCCATAAAGGGCCAAATTGAGCCTATCATAAATCTAAATTCCCCTGAAATAGCTATGGCTATATTGTTAATACATTAAAAGATAAATCTTTTCTTCTTTCTCCACCAGTCCTACCAGAACAGTTCTAAGTAGTTAACACAATTCTTTTCCTGAATGTATGCAATGAACTTCTTAGGCACCTGCATTTAGCTTCAATTTTCTCTCTTGGGATTTCCATTTTTATGTCAGAAAAGAAGTCTTTCATTGAAAACATTGGGGTGGTCTTAAAATTATTCAGAAAAATGAAGATGGCTTGGTGTGTTAATTTGCTGAGTTTTAAAAATGACCTTTTCAGACATTAGATTTACTAGATTTACTGTGGTAACCATTTCAGTGTGTGTAAATATCAAATCACTATACTTGAAACTAATATGATATTATATGTCAATTATATTCAGTTAAAAAATCACCTTTCCTCCAGATTTATCTGTACAGTTGTTTTCTGTTTTATTGAGAAATAATTGACATATGTCACTGTGTAGGTTTATATTGTACAGAATGATAGTTTGATTTACATATATTTTGAAATGATTATCACAGTAGTTTTAGTTAACATCCACCATCTCATATAGATACAATGAAGAGAAAAAAATTTCTCCTTGTGATGAGAACTATTTGTATAATTTGATAATTTTCTTAAATTCTCACTCATTTAATATTTGGTGAAACCTGAGGTGTCCCAGTTCTGTTTAGGAATTTTTTTTTTCAGTGTCTCAAGAATGCTCTCAGGGTTATTAATTGAGTTTTTCAAGAATATAAAATGTTATTTATTTTTTTGGCTGCACCTTGCAGCCAAGATTGTGGAATCTTACTTCCCCAACCAGGGATTGAACCAGGGCACTCACAGTGAAAGCATGGAGTCCTCACCACTGGACCTTCAGGGAACTCCTTGAAATTTTTAAACTGTTATCTTGTATATGAAATAGCCTTATGAGTTTATTTTTTGCTTAACCTACTGCACTCTTTTTTTTCTTTTAATTTAATCCAGAAATAGACAAGAAGAAATATTACAAGTACAGCAAAGAGAAGACATTAAAATGGCTAGAAAAAAAGGTACAGTACCTCTCAGTGCCTGTGGCAGAAAGAATTTAATGTTCCTTTTTAAAAATGTTTAGAGAGAAGGTAGTAAGCCTGACCCCAAAAACCATCTTGAAAGTCCACCTACAAGAGAGAAGCTATACAAAAATCTCCCAAGTGTGAGAAGAATCTTTGACTTTCCACTTTTCCTAACTCATGTAGCTCTGGACTTAGCTTGATGTGCTTTTCCTTTGACCTGCATTCCCATTTCCTCGTGATCCTCACCACTGAATATAGAAGTTCTTGCTAGTTGCCACTATAGACTTGAATCTTCCAAGCCAGGTAATAGCAGGGCCACGTGCACTGTCAGTCCTGCAGGCATCTCAGAAGTTGACATTGCTCACACGTGACCTGCAGGGGACCAGGCAGATGGGATTTGGGTTTAGTGTCTAGATGCTGAAGACGGGTCTTACTCCAGGCAAGCCCTGTATCTTGGTGATCCCAAGAATGAAACTTAATATAAGATCTCTTGCAGTGCTTTTCCAATCAAATTAGTGGATCACACCCAGTATTTCTCTTGGAATGGAATGGAATAAAATGGGCTAGGATAGACTAGGATGAATTAAAAGGAAAGTTGGATTGAGAGTTTGGGATTACCAGATGCAAAGAGGTATATATAGAATAGATACGCAATAAGGTCCCACTGTATAGCGAAGGAAGCTATATTCAATATCCTGTGATAAACCATAATGGAAAAGAATTTGCAAAAGAAAAAACTGAAATTGTTCTGTGTAATCAAATATATATCCTTATATTGTTTAAAAAAAAATCACAAGGTAAGGGCAAGTGTTAAGTATGATACTATAACATATTTATATATGTTTTGGGGTATTTGGTTTCTGAGTATTTCTTACTTTGCATACGGTGAAGAAACAGAAATGCCACTGGTCTAAGGATATCGCTTACTTTCACAGTGATAAAGAATCTCACCAGACCAGATCTGTGGATGACAAAGTTTTTGCAAGTTTTGTGGATGTCAGTTCTAGCACTGATTCCTAAGATTCTCTTCTGTCTTGTATATGAAAACACATGTTTGTCACATCACCTTAATGGACACATTGGGAGCCTGGGAACATGGAAATGAACCTTGCAGTGTTAATCAGGCTCCTTTGTGCGAAGTAGGGGAAAGGTTTAAAAAGTGCATGTGTTTCACTCTTTATTTGCATTACCAGTAGTCTTTGCATTTGTGAGATTCTGTGTAGATGAAGAATGAAAAGTGCTGAGCAGAAACTGGGTGTTTAGTTTTTGTTCTTAGCAAATGATAATGACATGAAATAGCTAAGTGAAGTTTATATTTATTGTTTCCTTTCTTAAATTCCTAGAAAATGAGAAATTTATATTATTTATTCTCCCTAGAAAATCATAAAATACAAGTTTTGTGCCATGTTCTGTCCTAAGGGCTTAACATACATTAACTCGTTTAGTCCTCACAGTAGTACTGTGCGATCGGCGCATCTTTATTTCCCTTTCACAGTAGAGGCACAGAGAGGTTAAGTAAGCAGTCCGTGGTCACAGAGCACAGCCAAGCAGCCTCCAGAGTCAGTGCTCTCACATGGTGTAGGCCTTAGGAAGTCCAGGTACGAGCCCATCCTGCAGCGCAGTCACTGCCCCTCACCTTTCTCCAATGTGCAGCCGTCTCTCATCTTCTGAAGGTGTATCTGTCTTGTACTACTTCTTCCTGGACCTGAAACCATGGGTTTAGAAAGTCTGGAAAGTCAGGGTTTCTAAAGTTAGTTGGAAATATACTGATATTCCCCCTTTGGTTATTTCATAGGTTAATCAGACTATGGCAGCATTAAAAACCAATAAGGTAAATGTCAGTGCCCGGGTACAGTCTACTGCATTTTTCTCTGGTGGCCAGGTTTCCAGTGACAAGGAGGGTAAGTGAATCATTTTTTGTTTTGTTTTATTTGTTTTGCCTGGAGTAAGTCGCCAATGTGTAAATGCCCATCTTAGGACTTAAAAACCTTAATGTCTCAGAAACTTCACATTCTTGCCAGTGTGTTCTCTTAGATCTCATGGCAGGTGTGCATTTTATTTCAAAACCAAGAGTACTTCTGCTGTAGATCACGTCTATTGCTAACTGATACTTAAGTCATTTAAGTGAACTACTGATGGAGCTCACCCGGCACTTAAGCCCACACTCGTAACCTTTTTGTTGTACTGCTCTTGGGGGGCGAGGCTTTCCAGAGCTGTGTCTGTTTGCATCTTATCCTCCAGAAGTGTAAGTCCTACTGTAGGTCTCAATATTTTGATTTTAGATGAAAATTTATTCACTGGACAATTTATTCTTTAAGATACATTCTTTTGCCTTTTTCATTGTAGTGTCCTCTTGCCTTTATATGTATCATTGAATAACAACAACTATCTGATACAATTTACTTTCTGAAATGGTAGGACAGTAATTATCCTGACTTTAATTCAGTGTTCCCCTGTTCTAAATGTACAATTCCAAAACATTGGAGTTTCGTCATTTAAAAAACAGAACAGCCAAGCAGCCTGTTGGTGATTGGCTGTGATTCAGGCAGTCTTTGATGTGCAGATCTCCACCTCACAGTACCTTGCACACACAGATGATGGCTGGCTCCTGCCGTTCTGGGAGTGGTGGACTGCCCTTGACGTCTGAATTAACTAGCTGTCAGTGTCTCTGATAGGCTTTAACAGAAGAAGAGAGAGACTGAATCAAATGGCTGGCTGGCCGGATAGAAGAATAGATCCATGGATGATGGATGGATGGATAAAACCATAGATTTTCACTAAAGCAGGAGAAGAGGCATTAGTGGTTATTTAGACAGATGTTCTCATCTTAAAAATGAAAAACTGTGGTCTCCAAGAAGTAGATGACTTACTCAGGGTTGCCAGTCCTAGCTAGCAGACAAGGTCGTCTACTCTGAGTCTGGTGTTTTTACCAAACCAATATCTAAATCTAAGAGTCTGGGCTTCACTATATTGCCATTTAGTGTTGCAGTCATAAAGTAAGCTTTATACTCTTTACATTCTTGCCTTTTTTAGACCTTTAGCTTGATATGTGCCAAAGGAAGCAAACAGATATATTGGCTTGCTTATTTGCTGTATGGCTCAGGAAACTCAAACAGGGGCTCTGGATCAACCTGGAGGGGTGGGATGGGGAGGGCGATGGGAGGGAGGTTCAAAAGGGAGGGGATGTATGTATACCTAGGGCTGGTTCATGTTGAGGTTTGACAGAAAACAGCAAAAGTCTGTAAAGCAATTATCCTTCAATTTAAAAAAATTAATTAAAAAAAAAGAAGAAGGGTCCAGTGATAACTTTCAGTTCGCAGTGTTGGCAGTGAAAGTCTCTTACTAAAGACTTTGAGATCAGGTCATCCAGGCAGGAGTCCCTTTCTGACTGTTGGTAATACTGAGGCAGATTATTATTCTGATGTCAAATGTAGAAAAGGGAAGAAAGATGGAAATGAATATCCTAACAGCAAGCCTGGGATAGTGCTTTTGGTAGTTTATATCCCCTTGTGATTATCCCGTCTATTGATGGGATAGATAATACTAGGTTATCCCCTAGTATTCTACAAAAAAAAAAGACTGAATTGAGGAAGAGGGCTTTAAAACAGATTTTCTCTTTTGTAACTGTATTTAATTGATACCAGAGCCTCATTTTAGTATGGAAAATCCTGGTGCTGTAGAAGTCATGATTATACACTCTGCTGAGTTTTGTTTTTTACATTTTTAAGGCGTTTTATTAGTTTGGGATTCCCTGGTGGCTCAGATGGTAAAGCGTCTTCCTGCAATGTGGGAAACCTGGGTTCGATCCCTGGGTCTGGAAGATCCCCTGGAGAAGGAAATGGCAACCCACTCCAGTACTCTTGCCTGGAAAATCCCATGGACAGAAGAGCCTGGTAGGCTACGGTCCATGTAGTTTCAAAGAGACAGACACAACTGAGCAACTTCATCCCATTAGTTTGGGGTTATATGTAACATTCAGCAAGTGCTTAATAGAGACACATTGTATATTATTTCTCTTAAATGAGCAACTCATTACTGTTCAGTAATTAGATTTATTTTATATTGAAACCAACCTAGAAAAGATGACTATTTTATATTGTTATATCTGATGTTTGAACTTTATTTGTATTCAAGGGCCTCAACTAAGAGAAGAACCCTGAATTTTTATCTGTTATTTAGTGGGCATCTATTGTATTATACTTTATTATCTCATCATATCTTCAGTGTCATCCTGTATGATATCTCATACATCATATCCCCCCCACCACTCTGACAGATAGATATGAACATCCCCATTTCACACACACACAAAAAAAGCTTAAGTGACTCTCCAAAGGTAAATAGTGCCACAATTTGAACTCCAGTCAATTTGACTGTAAAGCAGCCATAATTATTACTAAACTTTTTTCTCCATTCTGTTTCTTTCAGAGGATTATGTTCGTTACGCCCATGGTCTGATATCTGATTACATCCCTAAACAATTAAGTGATGACTTATCTAAGTATTTAAAGTAAGTATGGCCCATCTTTAGTTGTAATTAAGCATAATTGTGCTTGGTTTCCTAGAAATAGGGTTTCATTATGGCTTATATAAGGTTTCCCAGACAACTCAAGTGGTAAAGACTCTGCCTGCTAATGCAGGAGCCACAGGAGACGTGGGTTCGATCCCTGGGAAGATCCCCTGGAGGAGGAAATAGCAGCCTACTCCAGTATTGTTGCCTGGAAAATCCCATGGTTAGAGGAGTCTGGTGGGCTACAGTCCATGGGATCACAAAGAGTCAGCCACTACTGGGCTCACAAGCAAGTATGGCTTGTCATATCCCTTTTTCTGATAAGAGGTTATTCTTGAGTGGCGTCACAGACTCTATGGTTTGGAGGTGATTTTTAATGGACAGTTTTTTTATTGGAACAAATTAATTTAGTGGATACTGGTTGCAAGAACCCCAGAGTGTTATGATTAGAATTATGAGTTGTTATAATGTTAGAGGATAAATTGTGTTAAAATTTTATCCCTAGCCAGACTTAACTAATTTGGTTCATGGGATGGAAAGAGTAGATGACAGAGTGAAATATTTTTGAAAGTTACATTTAAAGATTGTGTACCATTTTTATTATTTTATTATTATAATCATTAGCTGTTCACTAGGTATTTTTATTATGCCCAGCACTTGAAACTCTTAGACTGAAAAAGATGTGTTTCTTTTCTATATTTTAGCAACTATTAAAATTTCATATATGTGATGATCTAATAGCTTTTCCTGATACTTAGAATAATTTTCTCCTCTGATACATGGAAATAAAATGACTTTTTAATAGCTATAGTTGCATTTTTAGGAAATTGTATTTTTGGTCCTACTTAAAGAACAATTAGTAGAAACTGGTTTCTGTAATATAATATAGTATGTTGAGAGCTTGCTCTGAATTAATAAAGGTACCCTTCTATTTATTATTTTCCTGAGTTTCTTTGTACCTGCTTGTTAGACTTTATATCTTTGTATTCCTTTATTTTTTTGGATTCTTTTCTGCTGAAATTTTAAAGTTTCAGTTAAAGACTTGAGAGAAGGATGTGTCAGTTAAACTTTTCTTTAATAGAAAAGTAAAGTTCCTATGACTTTTTTGTCAACAGAATAATTTTCACTTTTAAATATGCTAGATTCATCATTCATGGTGAAAAAATACATACCAAAATACATATTTATAGAGACTAAAGGAAAGCAATTCTATTGCAACCAGTGACTTCTAATTTTGTTTTTTAGCTCAGAATTCCAGTACAGAGAATTAAGTACCTAAATGAACATTTTTTCACTTAGAAAAATTTCACTCTTTATATTGAGGTGATTGAACAGTAAGATATATGGAGGTGAAACTATTAGATGAAATAGGACTTACTGTTATTATTAGATGAAATAGGAATTACAACTCAGGACTTACTCAGTCTTAAGTTGGCCCAGTCATTCTGTTTGTTTGTCTATGAAAAACCATGACTCTGATTTTTATTTTTAACTCCTCAGGCTTCCAGAACCTCCAGCTTCAGTGCGAAACCCTCCATCAAAGGTAAGAAACTATGACTAAGATATCTTTGGAGCACCTGGAATAATAGTATACTTTTGCCATATGCATTTAGTTTACTCTAGTATATATTAATGGAGAAGGAAATGACAACCCACTCCAGTACTCTTGCCTGGAAAATCCCATGGATGGAGGAGCCTGGTAGGCTACAATCCATGGGGTCGCAAAGAGTCGGACACAACTGAGGGACTTCACTTCACTTCAGTATATGTTAAAGCATCTTAATCTACCTTATGTGGAGTAAAGATTATATTGCTCTCCATCAGTATTTTTATTTTTGTGAATTTTAGATGAATCATAAATAAGGTGCTATGAAAATCAGGGATGAGTTGGTTCTAGCTCAATATCTGCATTGACATAGTAGAGAATCGTAGTTAAAATTAAGTCTTCTTGCATGAGATAGATCCTATAATTAACTTTATTAATCATTAGGAAAACTCTATAACTAAAACTCACTTTGCCAAATATAATTGTCACGGGCACAGAAGTGCATAGAGCATGATTTTTTGCAACACAGAATTCTTTGAGCAAGGATGACCACACTTTACTGTCTATACTTGAAATGATCAACACAGTTTGTGTGTAATCTTTGTGAATCAGTGAAAACCCTTTCCTCTGCCAGATGTTCTCAAATTCCACCCACAGCTCCACCGCACTGTGGACTCTCAGATACAGGGAGTAGAGAAGCCATTCACACACCACGCCCGAGAGCAAAGAGTAGCATCCCTAAGTCTGGCCTGATTGCAGACTAGTAAGTGCTGCTCAGACACAGGGAAATAAACATGCACCAGCTTGTCCGCGAGGCCATCGTTCTCCAGTGGCAAGATAATGAGTACCTTGTGAATGAACGTAATATGGATGCTAAAGAACTTTCCTTCTTCCCTGCCTTCTAGGTGGCCAACAGTCTCAGGATTTTTTTTTTTTCATTTGTATACTGTTTGAAGGTGGTGATGGTCCTAAAAACATTCAATACTTTGACTTTTCGGAAAGGGCATAAAATTTAAAGTGCATCATTGTTAGTTGGGGACCTTTTTTAGCAAATTGTCCAAGGAGGTTCATCTTTTCCTCACTGGAGGAAGCAGTTGGTGTAAGATCTAAAGTTATCTTTAGATCTGGGACAGACCCACAGCAGCACCAGGGGACGTAAATATAGCTGTCTTGCTCTAACTAAGGTAACAGGCATATTTGTTTCTTTCTTAATTTTCTCCTTCCAAAAGCAAGGCATATTTCTTTCTCTCAAATACCTGTCTTCCTTAGTAACATAGAGATCTAAACCTGCCCTTGAAGGATTTAGCCTTTGATGTGGTTGCTGGAGGGTAGGGTCTTTTTTTGTTGCACAAAGAATTCACAGATGAGATTCAGAGGTGAAGTTAAGCAGAGGGTTTATTGAGTGACAGTACACTCTCAGGAGGGCGCGTGGGCAGGCTCAGAGGAGGAGCAATGAGGTCCTTTTGGCAAGCTGGTTATGTGGGGTGTGAAGGATTAGGTGGAATAATCATCCAGTGGGGAGGGGTTGAGGGGGTGATTTCCTGGTTTTCATCCCAGCTCCAGCTTCCAGAGATGAGGAGGAGTTTCTGTCCTTATGTGGTCTTGCTCGGATCTGTCATGGCACAGGGGCATGGTGGGTAGCGCTCTGGTGCAGTGCTAGTTCTGTTGTAATGTGGGCATATTGAGCAAAAGGTAACATTCAGACCAGAGGTTCTCACATATCTTTGTTTGCTGCTAGTTCCCTTGTCATCGCAAGACTTATGATCTCCTGTCAGCCCAGAGGTTCCCACTTCTCTGTTTGGCCCTTGGACCCCTGTCATTGTAAGATGTATATCGTCACCTGACCCATGCCTGCTCCTTTCCTCATGTCTGGCTAACGGCCTGCTCTGACATTCTCCTCAAGGGGTCTGCACCCTTCAAATCTTTTAAGGGTCAGAGGGTCCATGATCTGTCTTCTGGAGCTGCCTCAAGCGGAGCAGGGGCCTTGTGCCTGCCTGTAGGGCCCAGATCACCTTGCCGTCTGTCAGAGATGAAGTCTCAGGGTCCTTGACAGTGGCAGAGATAGAGAGTGGGGAGTAGACGGAGGCTGCAGCCCTGTCCCACAGATGTTGGTGGTCCCCATTGTCCTGAAAAGAAAAGAAAGTGAAGTCGCTCAGTCATGTCTGACACTTTGTGACCCCATGGACTGTGGCCTCCCAGGTTCCTCCATCCATGGGGTTTTCTAGGCAAGAATACTGGAGTGGGTTGCCATGGGTTGAAATTCCTGGTGTATCATCATCTGTAGGTGACACTGTTGTAACCTGAAGAAACAAACTTAACAAGCAGGTTAAAAGGGATAGAGCCAAAAGTCAGTAAAGGTATGATTGCGATCAGAGGTCCAAGCAGGGGCAGGAACCATGTTATGTTTGATAACACCCTTCTGACTGCAGGCCAGAAGGGGGTGGCACTGGGGTTACCCTTCCTGAAAGTGTGTAGCTTTGGGGCCTATTCGTATGTGCTTTGGGTACCTTCTTCCACCTGGCCAGTGGTGTTGAGGTAGGTGCAGCACAATTTATTGATAACTGCACAGACCCTCCCTGTTCAGCTGGGAGATAGTCCAGGTCCATTCTGTTCTCCATCATTACATCTGCTAGGAAATAAAGGGATCACCTGTAATCCTGGTCAGAGTAGATAGAATATCTGACAGGTTGCAGAGCATTGCCTCAAGGGAGGCAAAGGCCACCTCCCACCATGGGGACACACCAAACCAGCAGCGGCTCCAGGCCTTCCAGCATGTGGCCCGTATGGATGGTTACACCTGGGTTCCCCTGATTACTTGGTTGGCCAAGTATGCCACGAGCAAGGCAATATCTATACAAGGAAAGTGGAAGTGAAGTGAAAGTTGCTCAGTCGTGTCTGACTCTTTGCAACCCCATGGACTGTGGAATTCTCCAGGCCAGAATACTGGAGTGGGTAGCCTGTCCCTTCTCCAGGGGATCTTCCCAACCCAGGGATCGAACCCAGGTCTCCCTCATTATGGGCAGGTTCTTTACCAGCTGAGCCCCCAGGGAAGCCCCATACAAGGAAAAGTGACAGCCGCTCCCAGGGAGAGGCAGAGGCATCAGGGTTGTTCTGAGGAGGGAAGTGGCTTATGTTTCAACCACAGAGGGACCAATATCTGGAGGAAGCGCATGCCTGGCGCACTTCAGAGGAGGTGAGAAACTCCTTAAGTGGTTTGTCCGAGAGGGGTACCCATGAAGCTTGGAGAGAGAGGCCCACCATTATGAAAGCGGTTATGAGGTGGGAGGCACGGCAGGACACAGGTCCTGGGACTCTGAGACTGGCAGGGTTGCCATGTGGCCGCTGCCCTCTCATGGGCCAGAGTTGGCAGGACTAGGTGCCCGTAGCCAGTCCTGAGAGGGAACCCCTCCAGGGGCCCCCTCATGGTAGTGCTCCTCTCTTTCACAGGAGTCCTCTCCCTCAAGGTTCACGGGAAGCCTCCTCTCCATGCCCGAGGACTCACCCCTGGGGTGCATTCTCAGTCACGGGACAAGTTTTTAAAACAGGAAAAGCTCGTCTCCTTTTGTAATACAGCCGGGCCCCAGAGTAAACTTGAGGACAAGGAAGCCTGGCTGGAAAATGGAAGCCTCAACTATAATACCATCCTACGATTAGGTTTTGCGAAAGGCAGGGATATTAGATAGAGTTTCCTTACGTTCAGGCCTTTATGACCCTAAGAGAGAATCCAGAGCTATGTACGTCCTGTGTTGGGGAAGCTTGTCCTTTGGGACCGGTTCAGATTATACAAAAACCGTCTCGGTAGCATCTCTGGAGGAAAATAAGTCTTGGACAGAAGACCCAAGTCCTGATACTCTTTCGCCATCTTCAGCCCTACTGGCTCCATGTAATCCTCTTTACTCTTCTGTGCCAGAAGTGCAGCAGAGTGCCCTCGCCCCCTCGCCCCCCGCCCCCCTGAGAAGCAGTAGGCAGACCTCAGGGAAATCCCAGAGTCCGTGCCTCCCTGCCTTTGTCTGACCTCAGCCAGCGCCACCCTCACTTAGGCTGCGTCTCAGGGGCCCCCTGGCCAGTTCACTGGATTCTGGGGGCTAACTCTTTGTCATGCCTGAGTGCCCTAGCCCGTTATTGGGAAGAGACTTTCTGTCAGCCTTGGGGTCAACTTTTGCTCTCCCTGAAAATGAAAACAAGGCCTATTTTTGGCTGAACTATGTGTTATACAAAACAGTCCAGCCCATATTTTCCCCAGAAATTGGAAAACTTACAGATTCACAGATCTCTGATCAAAGAATCCCAGGATGAGCAAAATTTGCCACTCTGTTAAAAATCACCATTAAGGAAGCTAGTATCTTCTTGCCATCTATGTGTCAGTTCCCCATAAAACCAGAGGCTCAACAGGGCCTTAAACCCTGATCTCAAAATTCACCAAATGTGGGCATTTGGTATTATGCTAGTCTCCTTGTAATACTCCAGCCCTGCCTGTCCTCACACGAAATGGGACATATAGAATGGTGTAAGGTCTTCAGCTCATCAGTGGAGTTGTGATTCCTCTCCATCTAATCATCCCAATCTATACTCCATCTTTTCTCAGATCCTGGGGGACACGGCCTGGTTTATAGTCCTTGATTTTAAAGATACCTCCTTCTCTATTCCTTGATTTTAAAGATACCTCCTTCTCTATACCTGTTCAGTCTGATTCCTAGTACCTCTCTCCCTTTGAATGGACCAATCCAGACACCAATGTGACCCAACAGTATACCTGAACTGTCCTTCCCCAGGGATTCCAGGATAGCTGACACCTACTTGGCAGTGCCCTAGCAAAGAAACTGAAGGCATTTAAATTAGAGATGGGGGCATTATCACAATACATAGGTGGCCTCCTTATTTGCAGTCCCTTGAAGGAAGCCTCAGACCAAACCACTGCACAGGTTCTCAGTTTCCTGGCTCCAGAGGATATCCCCACAGAAGGCCCAGATTTCCTCCCAGAGAGTCACCTTCCTGGG